TTAATTACTGAGAGTTATGCAATTTTTGGAGTCTTATATAAGTGTGTGTGAGATCTGCATAATTCTGTGATTGTATATGTAACTATGTGAATGTATTTAAATGCTTAAATTCAATTAAACCATCATGTATGCACAAGCTCAATGGATGTTGTCTTTTATTGATATTGCTTCCGCTTAAAGCCCCGTATGTGATTAAATATGATTCTCAAATTCTGTTTTGAGGCCTATGTACAGGCCGGTCATGGACCAAACTTTTAGGGGCAGGTTTGGGTCGTGACACATCCCTCATGTCTTGCACGATTTTTAACATAACCTTTGAGTATCTTCATGTATCTAAACAACAATAAAATTCAGCTTAACAAATTTTTTTAGAAGTTAATTTATTTTAGACAAAAAATAATTCTTATATTTAAAATATGACATAGAATAACCTTTCAAATGGGTACATCCAACGAAACTGCACTGGTCCACATAAGCGAGCTTCTTGGCCTAAGTGGATTGTTAAGTGTACCATAATATCAAAAAATGATGGAGGGAAGAATCTTTCTAATATACACAAAGTCTTGGCAACATCATTTTCAAGTTGTTCTATCTTATTCCTATCAATCACCTTTTGACATAACTGATTGAAAAAAGAGCATAATCGGAATATTGCATTCCTTGGTCCTTTTGGCAGAAGTCCTCTTAATGCAACTGACAACAATTGTTGAAACAAGACGTGACAATCATGTGACTTGAGTCCAATTAACTTGCATTCTTGTAATGAAACACAATTAGCAATATTTGAGCTATAACCATCAGGAAACTTCAAATCTTGTAGCCTAGAACAAAAATCTTCTTCTCATCCTTGGAAAGTGTATGTGATGCTGGTGGCAAGTAAAAATTGGATCCTTTATTCTCTGCATGCAATTCACTTCTAATTCCCATTTCCGCCAAATCTTTACGAGCCTTAAGACCATCCTTTGATTTTCCCTTAACATTTGAAAGTGTACATAAAATGCTTTCACAAACATTTTTCTCAATGTGCATCACATCCAAGTTATGACGTAAAAGCAATGCTTGTAACATCAAACAAAGATTTATTATTCAAAAAATTATAAGAAAAAATTTAACTAAGACTAACGATAGATGAACAAATATGAAATCATAATTTCCAAGCACTTACATCCCAATATATTGAAAAATATGGACTTCTTCTTCCATGGTTGGACGCAATCAGACTCTTTTTGGTCTTTTTTTTTGTTTCGTCTGGTCCCTTTTTTCTTTTCCTTTCCTTTGTAGTCTTTCCCCAATTAGTTTCAATGTCCTTTATTGCATCTAACACATCAGATCCACTCAATGGTTTAGGATTCCCCCGAAGCTCTTGCTTTCCATGAAACCAACTTCTTTTCATTCCAAATGGATGATCCGGAGATAGAAATCGCCTGTGGCCCATGTACACTGTTTTCTTACTGTGATTTAACCACTGTGAGCATGTGTTAATGCTACATATAGGACAAGCAACTTTCCCTTTTGTGGCACATCCAGCTAAGTTCCCATAAGCTGGAAAATCATTTATTGTCCACATCAACATAGCCTTCAAATTAAACATAGACTTGTTGGCTGCATCATAGGCCTCGACACCATTATTCCATAATTCTTGTAGGTCTTCTATAAGTGGTTACAGATACACATCTATGTCATTCCCTAGTTGCTTTGGTCCCGGTATAAGTAATGTCAACATTATATTTTCTTTTGCCATGCATAACCATAGAGGAAGATTATAAGTCACTAACATCACTGGCCAACAACTATACCTTGAGCTAAGATTTGCAAAAGGATTAAATCCATCTGTTGCAAGACCAAGTCGAAGGTTTCGTGGATCCAATGCAAAAGAGGGCCACTTTTGATCAATTGAATCCCATGCCAATGAATCAACTGGATGTCGCATCTTTCCGTCTTGACTTTTGTGAGTGGAATGCCAAGTTAATTGTTCTACTTTTACTTGTGACCTGAACATTCTTCTAAATCTTGGAATTATGGGAAAATAACGCAACACCTTCGCTGGAACCCCCTTTTTAATCTTCTTAGTTCGCTTATCTACTTTCCAACGAGAACAATTGCATTTTGGGCAAGTCTCCATATGCTCTTAACTCTTTTCTAAATAAACAACAATCATTGACACAAGCATGTATTTTGTCATACCCTAGATCAAATGCTTTAAGAAACTTCTTTGTTGTATACATAGATTGCATAAGTATGTTACCTTCTGGTAGCATGTCAGACACTATTCTCAAGAGTTCATCAAAACTCTCATCAGATGCCCCATGCACAACTTTATGCTTGTATAAAGCGACAATTGCTGCAAACTTAGTGTACTTTGTACAACCTGGATATAAAGGAGTTTTAACATCTTCTAATGCTTGTGTGAACTCCCTCTCTCTACTTTCATTTGTAGGTTGCCAAAAATCATCTTGTACATAAACATCTCTAAACATTCTATAAGTCTCTGGAATTGCAACATTCTCTTGAACTTCTATAGATTCACTTAGTCGTTCCCCATGAAGAACCCATGACGTATATCTAGGATCCATCCATTTCATGACTAAGTGCTCGAACACAGTATCACAATGTTGTTGTGATAGGTTTTGACAACTTCCACAAGGGCATATGATCATATCGGGATTCCCTGCATTCTCCTTAACCGTATTGACAAATTTTCTCGCTCCATCCAAATACTCATCCGATACTCTGAAAATTTTAAATTATTATTAATTCCATCAAAAAAAAATTTTTTTTGAGTAGTTTAACATTTGAAAGCATATTTATGGTTGTGTTTGGAAATAAACCTTGGAAAATGTAACCATTGTTTATCCATCTTCAACTTTCCGCTTGCTAACAAATTGCATCCACAAAAATCGCTCGCTCGAACTAGTTACATGCATCAATGCTCAAAATGATTAGCAAATACACCAAGATGGTGATTTAGAATTTCAATTTCTCATTAATGGTTCTCAATGAGTGTGGAGTTGTGTTTTGAATTTAAAATATTAAAATATTAAAATATTTACAAAATAAAATAAAGTATTTAAAATAAAAAATTTAAAAATGTTTAAATAAAAATTATATATTTAAAATAAAATAATAAATTTTTCTTAAACATTTTTAAATATTTTTAAAAAATAAATCCCAAAAAAAATTCTAAATACAACTCAAAATTGAAATCTGTACAATTCATACCTTTATAAAATGTAGAATAAAATGATACAGGCAGCATTGTATAAATAATACAGTGTCATTAATTTATACTTATATATTGATTGCACATTTCCATCAAAGAGATTTTGGGATATCATCCAACTCCTACAGGCTAAATTCATTCGAGTATGAAAGTATATTGCAATCATCGCCTTAGAAAATGGGTTAACAAGTCTACCTGCAGAGAAATCTTGCCAACTTCAATGTAGCTTCTAGTTCAAAGCTTAGGGGAGATACTCTGCATGTCAAATAATGGAAAAGATAACCATCAAGAGGGTTACATAAATTATGAAGCGAATAAACATGAGAAGACAATAAATAATAAGCATTAAATAAATTTCAAAACAATAGCATTAAGCCACTGAAAGTTTTTGTTATTTGAATATTACTAAGAACATGCATCTTTTCAAGCAAAGTTAAGACCCTTAGGGAAGGTGACTATAATTTATCTAATAAAATTGGATACAAGCAAAGTTTAGAATACAAAGGGATGGGTGGGTCCACTTTGGTCATTTCCACTTTGTAAAAGAAGTTAAGGTTAAATTTGATTCATAATGAGAAATTTAAAATTGAAAATGGGAAATTCTCAAATTCATAAACTAAACACAATCTAAAGCGGAACGTTATGGCTATGTTTGGCATAAAGGGTTTTAGACTAAAATAATTATTAAAAAAATAATAAGTTGAAAAATTAATAAGACAAAATAGGCTAAAAAATTAATCAGACAAAATATCACATCCAAATCATAATCATTTTATTTTTTCTCTCACAAAATTCAAAAAAGCCAAAAAGTCTATTCCAAACGAGACTTTTTAGCTCCAAGTTAAAATAGCCAAAAAGCCAACCTGCATCCCAAATGAAGACTATATTAGCTACTCAATTGAAAGACCGCAAAATAATTATGTTAAAATTGTATTTGAATTATAAATTTGGATAAGAATTTATAAAATGAAAAGGAAAAAAATAAGTAAAATGTGAATAAAGTAAAAAAAATTTAAAAGAAAAATTAAATTCAAAATCCGAACACACTATTGTAGACACCCCATTTTTGACCGTCCTCAAGACTTGGACGTCACCGTTTGAATACTCGGCAAAATAATTATGTTAAAATTGTATTTGAATTATAAATTTGGATAAGAATTTATAAAATGAAAAAGAGAAAAATAAGTCAAATGTGAATAAAGTATAATTTTTTTTTAGAAAAATTAAATCCAAAATCCGAACACACTATAAAAATAATTACTTTATTAAGTGTATCTAAAGTGGAATATTATCTTTAGTCTCACAAATTTAAAATAATTATACTCATTCATTTGGATTTTAATTTAGATAATACTTTTTCATATATTTATTAGTTATTATAGTTAGGTTTATGAATTAAAAAATAATGTTATAATTATCTCTTTTACACAAAATGATGTTACGATTTATGTCTTTAATAATGATTGAGTGCCTAACATCTCAATTGAGACTGTTAATTGGACAACTGAGCTAGTACAATTCGTTAATTCTGTTGTATTGAGTTTACAAATGGAATAAAATGAATCATCGAAATAGAAACTTGTAATGGGTCCAATTAAGTTGTCTAATCCAGCATAGTAGAGCGAAAACCAAGTTATGAACTCTTGTTTTAAGCCAATAAACCATGACACATCAAAAGAATATTGATCACCTTTTATATATCACAAGCAAAGTATATTGTAAGGACATAATTGATCACGACTCACAAGCAAAGCAATCAATATTATTTTTTCTTTTCTTTTTTTGTGAACACGACAATTGACAAGTAAAGCAATAAATATTCGAAAGCTGAAATCTTTTTTAACAAATTCAATTTTCCAATTCAAATTCTCAATTTCATTGTTGGAGGTGAAGACTGAAGCAGAGGCTGGTGGATAGCTTTGCTCATCTTCATCACTACTGGGCGGGTTTCTTAGCTGTTCTTGCTCTTTCTCATCTATACAGGAGAGACACAGGTACACACTTTAATAGAAATTTAGGCGTCAGGGCCAAATTGAAATTAGATTAAAAATCTAAGAACTAAATTGTTTAATTTAAAACTATAGGGACTAAAGTTAAATTTGGATTAAAGTACAGGGATGAAAAGTGTAATCAAAGTAAAAGAGAAAATGATATCATTTTTCATCCATTTGACGTATTGAACTATTGTTGAAAATTAGGTTAAGTGTTATGTAAATTAAAATCTTAAGGAAGTCTCATGTAATTATGCTAAAATTGTAAAGTTTACTGTATTTTTATTCAAGCTTAGGGGACCCAAAAGAAAATTTTAAATTAATTATATTAGAGTTAAATACATAATGATTCTCAAAGTATGCATCTTGTGTCATTTTAGTCTCTAATGTTTCAAATGTGTCATTTGGTCCTCAACCTATTAATTTTGTCACTAAATACTCTCTACCTCCATTTCCATCTGGAATTGATTATGGAAGACATCTTTTTCAAACTACATTTATATTAGTAAAATGAGATAAAAAAATAGTCTCCAAAGTGTGTGATTTGTTTCAATTTCGTCTCTAATATTTTAATTGTATCAATTTAGTCCCTAACTTTTTCAATGGCATATGTGATTTCATGAAAATACCCTTACTTCTATTATCAATTGTAGAAATTAACGGAGGTAGGGACCATTTAGTGACAAATTTAATAGGTTATGGAGCAAATTGACACATTTAAAATATTGGAGATCAAAAGATTATATTATAGAGTAATACTACAAACACATCCTTATCAGGGTTCATTTGAGATGTGAGTTGGCTTTTTTGACTTTTTGGCTATTATAATCTGAGGCTAAAAAGTCTCGTTTGGGATGGGCATTTTGACTTTTTTGACTTTTATGAGAGAAAATAAAATGATTATAGTTTGGATGTGACATTTTGTCTTATTGACTTTTTAGCTTATTTTGTCTTTTTATGACTATTTTAACCCAAATCATTTATGCCGAACGAGAACTCAATGCAAAAAGTATCTAGAAATTATTCTCTACCACATTTCACATGGGCTTCACATTACACAAATTAATCTCCACCACACAATCACTTATCCAAAATTTTCTGGGTGGATATGGATGGGTCTCTTGACTTTTCCTATATTATATGTTATACAAAGCTTCTTTTCTTGATTTCCATTTCAATTTTTGTAGAAAAGCTCTTTGTTCTGTTCAATTTTTTACATTTTACATTTTACTACACTAATTGAAACAGAGATGAGAAATGGCTCTGGATGTTGTTGCTTCGGTTGGTGAACAATTGGTGGCCCCAGTTAGCCAATTTGGATATTTCATTTTTTATAACAGAAACATTAAGAATCTCAAAAAACAAGTCCAAAAATTGGAAGACACGAGATAGAATACAAAGGAATGGGCAAATTATTGAACCTAGTGTTGAGCAGTGGTTGACAACGGTGGATGAAGTTAGCAAAGAGACCGAAAGATTCCTTCGTGATGAAGACAAAGGGTGGTGCCCAAATTTGAAATCACGATACTCATCGAGCAAGGAAGCTAAGAAGAAGATTGAAGATGTGGTAGAGCTATGTGAAGGATTAGGAGACTTCTCTAGTGCTCCGATGGGGATCGCATCCACATTCATATCCGCCAGAGGTTTTAAGGGTTTTGAATCTAGAAGATTGATTATGAACGATGTCATGGAGGCACTGAAGGATGATAGATTCCACATGATTACAATATGTGGGATGGGAGGTGTTGGTAAGACAACAATGGTGAAAGAAGTTGCCAAAAGAGCAAAAGAAGAGAAATTGTTCGATGAGGTTGTGATGGCTGTAGTGTCCCAAAGTCCTAATGAAAGAAAGATTCAAGGTGAAATTGGAGATAATTTGGGTTTGAAATTTGAGGAGGAGACTGAACGTGGAAGAGCAAATCGACTGTGTGAAAGACTAAGGCGCACCAATAGAATCCTTGTCATATTGGACGATGTTTGGAGGCGTCTCGAACTGAATGACGTAGGAATTCCATTTGGAGATGGTCATAGAGGTTGCAAAATTTTACTGACTTCTAGATTTGATAATGTATGCAACGATATGAATGCTCAAACGAAATTTACAATTGAAGTCTTGACTGAAGAAGAAGCATGGAATCTCTTTCAGGAGATGGCTGGAATTTCCAACAACACGAGTCACACAAGTACTGATTTGTATATCACGCAGAAGAAAGTTGCGGATGAATGTGGATGTTTGCCGATTGCTATTGTTACAGTTGCGAGGGCACTCAAAGGTAAAGATGAGCAGTCATGGAATTCAGCCCTTCTACAATTACGTAAGTCTAAAAAAAAAATGTTTAAAATTTTAAAAATATTCACTAAAAACAAAAAAACACAAAAAACAAAAAAAATCAATTTTCAAAAAATTTAATCCAGAAAACTCAAACCAAACACACTGAATCATTTTATTTTTTCTCTCACAAAATTTTAAAAAGCCAAAAAATTCCAAACGAGACTTTTTAGCTCCAAGTTAAATAGCCAAAAAGCCTACCTGCATCCCAAACGAAGGCTATATTAGCTACTCAATTGAAAGACCACAAAATAATTATGTTAAAACTGTATTTGAATTATAAATTTGGATAAGAATTTATAAAATGAAAAAGAGAAAAATAAGTCAAATGTGAATAAAGTATAATTTTTTTTTAAAAAAATTAAATCCAAAATCCGAACACACTATAAAAATAATTACTTTATAAAGTGTATCTAAAGTGGAATATTATCTTTAGTCTCACAAATTTAAAATAATTATACTCATTCATTTGGATTTTAATTTAGATAATACTTTTTCATATATTTATTAGTTATTATAGTTAGGTTTATGAATTAAAAAATAATGTTATAATTATCTCTTTTACACAAAATGATGTTACGATTTATGTCTTTAATAATGATTGAGTGCCTAACATCTCAATTGAGACTGTTAATTGGACAACTGAGCTAGTACAATTCGTTAATTCTGTTGTATTGAGTTTACAAATGGAATAAAATGAATCATCCAAATAGAACTTGTAATGGGTCCAATTAAGTTGTCTAATCCAGCATAGTAGAGTGAAAACCAAGTTCTGAACTCTTGTTTTAAGCCAATAAACCATGACACATCAAAAGAATATTGATCACCTTTTATATATCACAAGCAAAGTATATTGTAAGGACATAATTGATCACAACTCACAAGCAAAGCAATCAATATTATTTTTTCTTTTTTTGTGAACACGACAATTGACAAGTAAAGCAATAAATATTCGAAAGCTGAAATCTTTTTTAACAAATTCAATTTTCCAATTCAAATTCTCAATTTCATTGTTGGAGGTGAAGACTGAAGCAGAGGCTGGTGGATAGCTTTGCTGATCTTCTTCACTACTGGGCGGGTTTCTAAGCTGTTCTTGCTCTTTCTCATCTATACAGGAGAGACACAGGTACACACTTTAATAGAAATTTAGGCATAAGGGCCAAATTGAAATTAGATTAAAAATGTAAGAACTAAATTGTTTAATTTAAAACTATAGGGACTAAAGTTAAATATGGATTAAAGTATAGGGATGAAAAGTGTAATCAAAGTAAAAGAGAAAATGGTGTCATTTTTCATCCATTTGACATATTGAACTATTGTTGAAAATTAGGTTAAATGTTATGTAAGTTAAAATCTTAAGGAAGTCTCGTGTAATTATGCTAAAATTGTAAAGTTTACTGTATTTTTATCCAAGCTTTAGGGGACCCAAAAGAAAATTTAAAATTAATTATATTAGAGTTAAATACATAATGATTCTGAAAGTATGCATCTTGTGTCATTTTAGTCTCGAATGTTTCAAATGTGTCATTTGGTCCCCAACCTATTAATTTTGTTACTAAATACTCTCTACCTTCATTTCCATCTGGAATTGATTATGGAAGACATCTTTTTCAAACTACATTTATATTAGTAAAATGAGATTAAAAAAAAAAAATAGTATCCAAAGTGTGTGATTTGTTTCAATTTCGTCACTAATATTTTAATTGTATCAATTTAGTCCCTAACTTTTTCAATGGCATATGTGATTTCATTAAATACCTTACTTCTATTATCAATTGTAAAAATTAACGGAGGTAGGGACCATTTAGTGACAAATTTAATAGGTTATGGAGCAAATTGACACATTTAAAATATTGGAGATCAAAAGATTATATTATAGAGTAATACTACAAACACATCCTTATCAGGGTTCATTTGAGATGTGAGTTGGCTTTTTTGACTTTTTGACTATTATAATCTTAGGCTAAAAAGTCTCGTTTGAGATGGACATATTAATTTTTTTGACTTTTCTGAGAGAAAATAAAATAATTATAGTTTGGATGTGACATTTTGTCTTATTGACTTTTTAGTTTATTTTGTCTTTTTATGACTATTTTAACCCAAACCATTTATGCCAAACGAGCACTCAATCCAAAAAGTATCTAGAAATTATTCTCTACCACATTTCGCATGGGTTTCACATTACACAAATTAATCTCCACCACACAATCACTCATCCAAAATTTTCTGGGTGGATATGGATGGGTCTCTTGACTTTTCCTATATTATATGTTATACAAGCTTCTTTTCTTGATTTCCATTTCAATTTTTGTAGAAAAGCTCTTTGTTCTGTTCAATTTTTTACATTTTACATTTTACTACACTAACTGAAACAGAGATGAGAAATGGCTCTGGATGTTGTTGCTTCGGTTGGTGAACAATTGGTGGCCCCAGTTAGCCAATTTGGATATTTCATTTTCTATAACAGAAACATTAAGAATCTCAACAAACAAGTCCAAAAATTGGAACACATGAGATAGAATACAAAGGAATGGGCAAGTTATTGAACCTAGTGTTGAGCAGTGGTTGACAACGGTGGATGAAGTTAGCAAAGAGACCGAAAGATTCCTTCGTGATGAAGACAAAGGGTGGTGCCCAAATTTGAAATCACGATACTCATCGAGCAAGGAAGCTAAGATGAAGATTGAAGATGTGGTAGAGCTATATGAAGGATTAGGAGACTTCTCAAGTGCTCCGATGGGGATCGCATCCACATTTATATCCGCCAGAGGTATTAAGGGTTTTGAATCTAGAAGATTGATTATGAATGAAGTCATGGAGGCACTGACGGATGATAGTATCAATATGATTGGGATATGTGGGATGGGCGGGGTTGGTAAGACAACATTGGTGAAAGAAGTTGCCAAGAAAGCATAAGAAAATAAATTGTTCAATGAAGTTGTGTTGGTAGAAGTGCCCCAAGACCCATCCTTCACTGTTATTCAAGGTATGATAGTTGCGCAGTTGGGTTTTTGATTCAGTGAGAAAATTTTACCTGAGAGAGCAAGGGAGCTAAAACAAAGAATATTGAGTAAGAGAGTCCTTGTAATACTAGATGATATTTGGAAGAAACTTGAACTGAAAGACATTGGAATTCCTTTTGGAGCTGATTACAAGAGTTGCAAAATTGTCAGGTGCTCTAAGTAATCTAGAAATTCTCAGCATTACTGGCTTTTCTATGAAGGAGCTACCGAAAGAAATAGGAAACTTTACTCACTTGAGGTTGATGTATTTGTTGAAATGTCAGGTGCATAGTATTTCTCCAGGGGTTTTGAAAAGTTTATCAAGACTAGAGGAGTTATATGTTGGGCTGCATATTTGTAACCATACTTCGATGAAGTTGATAACCTGCTAGTGTGGCAATTTGCTATTAGTATATACTTGTTGCTCTGTTTTGTTTTTAATAAAAGTGTAATTCTCACTTTATTTTGCAATTAAGGTGCTGCTCACAACACCTACTACTCCAACAGATCAAATGAAAGCCATTGTTGAAGCTTCAGAGGGATTTGTGTATCTTGTAAGATCCTTCTTTCCCCAGTAACTATTGTTGACACCACTTTCAGATCTCTGTCCATGGTTGATTAATTATTTGTCAATTATTCTCTCATTTGTCAGTACTTTTGTAGATTTATTTGGCATTTCAAGTATTTCAATAGGCTCATGGCATCCATTAAGGTTGATCAGTTAATTAGATCTTTCCACTGTATCTTCTATTGGTTAATGTGTTTCTTCGTAAAGGTAAGTTTAAAACATGACAATTTCAGGTACTTGCATTGGCCACTCATAACATTCTGATAATGTTGGTTTAGAGTTGACATAACTTCTTATTATATCTTTACTCCTACTGCCATTGCCTTTGTAGCACAGTAGCAAATACAACTATATTTTATGGCAGTTTCTATTTGCCATCTATGAATCTATTTCTAAATTTTACCTATTCATCATAACATTCTTTAGTATCACTCAATCATTCTAATGCTATAGAGTAAATTACGTGGACTCCACATTACAGTGTAAAATCACAAATAAATTCTGTTTAATGTGGAGTCCTGAATCACAGAATTTCAGAATGAATAAAATCTACAATATAAATAGAATATGTGTTACTGATTCAACCTAGAAATTCATGGATAGTCCACTTGATTCGTGAATAAAATCTACACTATAAACAGAATTTTTAATCATAGATTTTTTGAAATGATTCGAATCAGCTTATTTTCTGAAATGATTCGTGATTAAAAATTTCGAATCAGTTCTATATAACGTGTGTTACTAAAATCTGCACTATAAATTCATGAATTTCAGTTCAACGTTCAAGTCCAAAATCACGAATAAATTTTGTTTAACATTACTGATAAACAGAATCACAGAATTTCAGTTCACGATAGAACGTGGACTCCACATTACAGTGCAATGGATTGATCATAAACAGAATTTTTAATCATAAATTTTTTGCTAATGGATTGATATCGGACTGATATCGGATTCGACCTAGAAATTCTTCACTTCCTCTTGTAACTATTCTCGCTATGTAAGCAGAGAAACTAAACGAATAAAATGGTGAGAGAGAGAGAGAGAGGGGGGGAAGGGGGAATCTAAACATACATCAAGAACGCAACCCTTCCCCTTCGAACCGTCGATCGTTGCCGTTGCCGAACCAGTCTCACCGCCGGAGGGAGCACGCTGTTCCAGATCGAAATCTTGCGCCACTGAACCAGTCTCCCTTTCGAACCCTAGAGCTCTGTTCCATATCGAAATCTTCTCCCTCTCTTCTATTATCCGATTTACAGCTCTCTATGTTCCCAATTAGAAGCCAAACAGTTTGCATTTTGGTATTAAAAAAAATTCATGCCGCTTGAGTTTTTGCTGATTGGCGCCGGATATTATTTTAATTTGGCGCCTAATTTTGTGGGTTATATCATTTACGGCATAAAGTGTGTGTCGTGGATAATTTATGTATTAACGGCATGTCATTTGCATGTCGTAAAAAGTTTTATTATTCATGGCTAACATTGTAAGTCGTAAAAAAATTATTATTATTACTATTTACGGCCTACGCAATAGACACGCCGTGATTGACAAAGTATTTACGACGTACAAAAAATGCAAGTCGTAAACATGAGAAACTACGACATGCATATCTTGTATGCCGTTGATGTGATGCTGTAAAAAGTCAGTTTTGTTGTAGTGCTCTTACTCGTTACTTGCAGATTTCATATCATACTCGAGCTCAATTTGTTGAAAATGAATTTCGCTGAAGATTGGCATGATTGGATATGTGCCCGAACTCATAGAGGCATTGCCTGGTGTTGCCCCCGGTTAGCACTTTCAGTTATAACCTGAGAGATGCTCCCTTTCCTAGGTGTAGAGGTAGTTAGCCTGACTCATATCATCTACTATTTCCCTCATCAGATTCTACAGCAATTTGGGTTCGCCCTGTAGCCTCAAATTTTGCTTTCCAAGCTTCTCACTTGAAGGTCAATGCCAAAGTTTGGCAAGATAGGACATTCATGATGGTAGAAGAGAGTTCCAACCACAAGCTATCGATAGAATTCATCCAGTGGCTTGAACATGGGATTCAGTGGGTTGAGACATGCAAGGAGAGACTATTCAAGAGGATAAAGACTAGGTGATTCTTGACTTATGGTGCCTCGAGTTTAGAGTTTTTTCACGTTTGTTTAGTTTAGCGTTTCACGACTTTTGTCGAATGGGAATTAGTTAAATTTTCTTTCATTTGTTACGTCTGAGATCATTATCAATGAAACCGTGCAACGAAGTTTATTCCCTTATTTTCAAAATTTTGTGTAATTGGTCAACCAGAAAGGAACACAAATCACTCACTCATTGTCACGCCCCACTTTTTATTACTCAAAGTCATTACCAAATTCATTAGCTTAATTCAATTACAAGGATAACATGCGGAAATAAACTCATGTATTCAATCCGCAGAAGTGATTAACGATACTCTCATTCGTATGCAAAGTAAATATTACATGAACATACTTAGTAAATTGCCCTTGGGCTTACATCACTTAAGGTACAAGAAGAAGGGTGTAACCTTTTTACAACAATGGCATTCCGCCAACATAACTGGGGCCCTGTGGCCAGTAAACAAGTAGATCCCAAACTTGCAGCTCAACCTGCTTAATACCTGAAAAAGATTCAACAACGTGGGATGAACATATAGTCCAGTAGGGAACTCAACATGATCCTCAACAATAACAACTTACAGATAGCTATGATCATGAACACTCATTCTCATACTAGAATAGTAATGTGACAGTTTATACAAAATATAAATGTATGAACTTTTCTCGAAAACAACCATTTCATTCAACGCTACAAGTGGCTTGTCTTACCTTTTTTTCTTTCATTAACCCCCGTTCCCCATCTGTCATAACATTAACAAATACTTAGAAAGTAATCACACTAAGCCCGATACTCTCTTCCATTTCCTATACATACTCAGATATACCTTTTCAAACATGTTTATCTTTCAAACATACGTTCTCCTCCACACTTTCCAAAAGACAAAAGACCCTTTTGGTTCGTTTCCATTACTATCATAACTATACATGCATATCTTTGTAAAAATATAAATTTACAACCCACCAACATGTATACAATCAACCAATGGAGTAACTCGGTCCTCCGAACTGTAACCAATCAAAATCCATGATATTTTCAGTTACAACGAAACAACTACAACCAACTTCGCTCTACTAGCAATGTGCGTAGTAAGCCAACAATACACCTTTTACAACAACAAGCCAGTTTACCAGGCGCTAGCTGGAGGGGTATGGTACTTTCGATTATTAGCGCAGCAAGCCAGTTTACCAGGCGCTAGCTGGAGGGGTATGGTACCTTCGATTATTAGCATAGACAGTTCTCCAGGCGCTAGCTGGAAGGTAACGGTACCTTTGATTATTAGCGCAGAGTATAACACCACCAACCAAATGCAACAAGGCACAACTAACATGTATAACACATATACATAAACCATCCAGATACAAACAATGTGTTAAAGTATATGAACACATAACTACCTCTTCCCAAGCAAGCATACATATCTAATGTATCTCAACAATTCATTACATACGATGTTCCATTAACAATGGTATAATGCATACACAACAATTCAAGACAACCATGTCATCCTCCACCGATGACCAAGGACAAAACTTCTAGATGCAAATGTATTGTACATCTATTAACAGACTCGATTATCATGAGATCACAAACCCATTAACAACCCAAGCATGGTAGTTACAATTTATTCCCCCAAATGTGTACACTCAACACGCATGATACAACAATCCAATCCCCATATTTGTTTTCTATGACTCACATAGAGTTAAAGTTTCATTCTTCACTTTCAAAATCAACTTTCATAATTTTGAAAATCAATATGTCCCACCACTTATTCCAAAAACACTTTTCTCATTTTCCCAAAATCAATTCCATTCCTTTCATTACCTTCCAAACTAATTATGCAAATTAAATCATAATCATTAGGTTAGGGTTTTTTTTTTTCTATATTTCAACCACAACATGCTATTTCACGCCACAAATAGTCCAATAGGCACCCAAAGACAATAAATCCATTTTTAATCAACCAACTCTAGGTTCCCTCATGATTTTCAAACAAACCCAACATAGGTATGGTTTTCATGCAATACAAAACTACCACATGTCTATTTATAGACGAAATATTGAAAAAGAACAAGGAGAATCCCTACCTCAAATGGAGAACTCAAATGGAGAAGATGACCCGAAATCAAAGTGCTCCAAATCCCAAATTTCTTGGATCACAACGAAGCCCTCGACGATCAACACATTTCTTGCAAAGGCCCAAGGTGAGGAAAACACTCTAGCTAGATCAATCCAAAGAGAGAAGTTAGGTTCTAGAGTGAGGTGCTCTCCAATGGCTTTTTCGGAAAAGTAAGAGAGAGAAAGGAAATCAAAAAGTGATTCAAAAAGCTGAATCTCAGTGTGTTATACAGGTCGCCCCGCTTGAGCGTGGAAACCCCCGCTCGAGCCTCACTCACAGACTCCCGGTCAAGCGCCAAAAACCCCGCTCGAGCGGCGGATACAACCATCCAGAAGTTTTGCAGAACAGGCCCCTGCTCGAACGTCCAACTCCCCGCTCGAGCGTCTCACACAAACTCCCGCTCGAGCGTCAAACATCACGCTCGAGCGTCCAACACTACAGAGGAAATACTGGGAAGGTGATTTTCCCGCTCGAGCACCGAAACCCCCGCTCGAGCGGAGAGGTCAAAAACTGGGCAAAGATTCTAGGTTATAAAACACAACCAACATAACCCAAGAAGTCCAACACAACCCAAAACTCTAAGATAAAGAGTAAGGGACAGAAAAGAGAATGAGACAACAACAACAAATCTACGGAACCGAGTCCGGATTACGGTTCAATAACAACAGGGAATATCGGGATCGCTATACTCATCTTATTAAAAACAACTCAAAATACAATTTTGCAAACTCACTAATTAGACATTTTCACAATTGAATCCATGAGTTGTATAACTAAAAATCCCCTCCAAT